GATGGTTGCTGTCTACCAACCTACTCACATATGACAGGACGGTAGTACCTCTCTGGACGGTTGCTGTCTACCAACCTACTCACATATGACAGGACGGTAGTACCTCTCTGGATGGTTGCTGTCTACCAACCTACTCACATATGACAGGACGGTAGTACCTCTCTGGATGGTTGCTGTCTACCAACCTACTCACATATGACAGGACGGTAGTACCTCCCTGGATGGTTGCTGTCTACCAACCTACTCACATATGACAGGACGGTAGTACCTCCCTGGATGGTTGCTGTCTACCAACCTACTCACATATGACAGGACGGTAGTACCTCCCTGGATGGTTGCTGTCTACCAACTTACTACCAACCCTAGATGACGTGACATCAGGGCCACTCAGAGAAGGGTCATTTGGCCAGGACCTCAAGATGAAAGGGAGACTACGCATTAATTTACTTATGTGTGTATGATATTACTGACTTTTTCACTGGACAGACTTCTGAACCTTAGTTAAAAAAAAATACGGAAAGTGGCTGTGATATCAGCTGGGAGTTTAACATTATTAAGTATATAAGGGTGAAAAAATTCTTCACTCGTATACCTTTATCTTTGATATACATTTGATGAGTTCCAAGAGTTTTCAAGAGTTTACTCCCAGCTGTGATATCAGTGTAAACTCCCGACGATAAACTCACGGCTGATATCACTCCCGGGAGTAAACTCCCGGCTGTGACATCAGCTGTTTCTCCTGATATCACAGTGAGTTCCCGTATTTTTTTGTTAATATTGCATCTGTGGCCCAAGTAAAAGATTTTCACAGGCTCACTATAGGTAAACAGTTGGTGGGGTCTCGATCCTCCGTCCACAAAGCTATAACTGTGTATAACAGCAAGGAAGTGAAAGCACTAGTGTCCGATATATTTTTAATTATGCACGCATGTAAATTATTCATTGTAATAACATGGATACACATCTCACGAAGTCGAACTGGCACGATGACAAACCATCACAGAACTCCAGGGGATCGAATCCATGGCAGCCGAGTCCTCAAACATACAGGCCAGTGTCCTAACCACTGGTCCATACTGGCATAGTCCAGTGGTTAGCACAGTGGCTTGTGAGTTTTAGGACTTGCTTGCCATGGGTTTGAGTCCCACCTGTTCCGTGGTTTACAGGGAAAGAACGTCTGTGTTGAACAAGAACTGTTACACTGAACGTACAGAACATTTTTAATTCCTCTTTATTAGATCAACATTAATTACACCCTATTCCTTATGTTTCTCGTTTGCTCCATCATTAATTAGTTAAATAATAATATTAAATAATAATGACGCGTGAGAGTATCTATGTGATCCTGGGGATAGACCTATGCTTGTCAAAAAGTCAGGCGTGAGTGACAAGCCGAGTATGGCTAGGTAGCAAATGGGTCTTAAAATCAGACATATCTATCGTTTCACCTCAGACATGAGGTTCTGGGTTAGGTGGCTTTATAACCCAGGAAGACACTAGCCAAGGATACCAGAATTCTTCTGATTATGTAGTTTACCTCGCCTAGGCTACCAGACTACAAGTTACTACCAGACTACAAGCTACTACCAGACTACAAGCTACTACCAGACTACAAGCTACTACCAGACTGCAAACTACTACCAGACCACAAACTACCAGACTACAAGCTACTACCAGACTACAAACTACCAGACCACAAACTACTACCAGACTACAAGCTACTACCAGACTACAAGCTACTACCAGGCTACAAACTACTACCAGACCACAAACTACTACCAGACTACAAGCTACTACCAGACTACAAGCTACTACCAGGCTACAAACTACTACCAGACCACAAACTACTACCAGACTACAAGCTACTACCAGACTACAAGCTACTACCAGACCACAAACTACTACCAGACTACAAGCTACTACCAAACCACTAACTACTACCAGACTACAAGCTACTACCAGACTACAAGCTACTACCAGACTACAAGCTACTACCAGACTGCAAACTACACAGACCACAAAACTACCAGACTACAAGCTACTACCAGACTACAACTACCAGACCACAAACTACTACCAGACTACAAGCTACTACCAGACTACAAGCTACTACCAGGCTACAAACTACTACCAGACCACAAACTACTACCAGACTACAAGCTACTACCAACTACAAGCTACTACCAGGCTACAAACTACTACCAGACCACAAACTACTACCAGACTACAAGCTACTACCAGACTACAAGCTACTACCAGACCACAAACTACTACCAGACTACAAGCTACTACCAAACCACTAAACTACTAACCAGACTACAAGCTACTACCAGACCACAAACTACTACCAGACTACAAGCTACTACCAGACTACAAGCTACTACCAGACCACAAACTACTACCAGACTACAAGCTACTACCAGACCACAAACTACTACCAGACTACAAGCTACTACCAGACTACAAGCTACTACCAAACCACTAACTACTACCAGACTACAAGCTACTACCAGACCACAAACTACTACCAGACTACAAGCTACTACCAGACTACAAGCTACTACCAGACTACAAGCTACTACCAGACCACAAACTACTACCAGACTATAAAGCTACTACCAGACCACAAACTACTACCAGACTACAAGCTGCTACCAGACTACAAGCTACTACCAGACCACAAGCTACTACCAGACCACAAGCTACTACCAGACTACAAGCTACTACCAGACTACAAGTTACTACCAGACTACAAGCTACTACCAGACTACAAGCTACTACCAGACCACAAGCTACTACCAGACTACAAGCTACTACCAGACCACAAGCTACTACCAGACTACAAGCTACTACCAGACTACAAGCTACTACCAGACTACAAGCTACTACCAGACTACAAGTTACTACCAGACTACAAGCTACTACCAGACCACAAACTACTACCAGACTACAAGCTACTACCAGACTACAAGCTACTACCAAACCACTAACTACCAGACTACAAGCTACTACCAGACCACAAACTACTACCAGACTACAAGCTACTACCAGACTACAAGCTACTACCAGACTACAAGCTACTACCAGACCACAAACTACTACCAGACTACAAGCTACTACCAGACCACAAACTACTACCAGACTACAAGCTGCTACCAGACTACAAGCTACTACCAGACTACACGTTACTACCAGACTACAAGCTACTACCAGACAACAAACTACTACCAGACTACAAGCTACTACCAGACTACAAGCTACTACCAAACACTAACTACTACCAGACTAAAGCTACTACCAAACCACTAACTACTACCAGACTACAAGCTGCTACCAGACTACAAGCTACTACCAGACTACAAGCTACTACCAGACCACAAGTTACTACCAGACCACAAGCTACTACCAGACCACAAGCTACTACCAGACTACAAGCTACTACCAGACTACAAGTTACTACCAGACTACAAGCTACTACCAGACTACAAGCTACTACCAGACCACAAGCTACTACCAGACTACAAGCTACTACCAGACTACAAGCTACTACCAGACTACAAGTTACTACCAGACTACAAGCTACTACCAGACTACAAGCTACTACCAGACCACAAGCTACTACCAGACTACAAGCTACTACCAGACTACAAGTTACTACCAGACTACAAGCTACTACCAGACTACAAGCTACTACCAGACTACAAGCTACTACCAGACTACAAGTTACTGCCAGACTACAAGCTACTACCAGACTACAAGCTACTACCAGACTACAAGCTACTACCAGACTACAAGCTACTACCAAACCACAAGCCAGCACTTACCTATCAGTTTATGGTAATCTTCCTGAAGGCGCTGCAGACGCCGCCGGAGCACTCTCTGCGATCTCACTGCTGACGCTGCTGACTCCTGCGCCACCAGCGCAGCCCCTACACTGCATCCAAAAACACTACTGTCAGACTCCAGCTCTACCAGACACCTCTCATGTAAGCAAGTTCTTATAAAACATAACATATAATTTGGAATTAAATACGTCTTTTCTATGGGCTGTCTCTCAGATCTTTGTGAGAAACCTAAATAACACAGAGATGCTATGGGACAGGAAGTACATTGTATGGAGGTGTATGGGTGTTGGCGGGGAAATGACGTGATGGTCGTAAACTGTGTTGTTGGAAGAGGAAGAATGAGGAAGTATGAGATGAGGCATTGGAAGGGAAAAATGAGGTAAAATGGGGAATTGGAAGAATGATGTGTTGTAGTGGTGGAGGCAGCAGAATGAGGTGTTGTAGTGGTGGAGAAAGGAGAACGAGGTGTTGGGGTGAGGTACCTGGATGAATGGTGACGATGATGGTGAAGGTAGGAGAAGATGGCTGGACGGGAGGTGGTGGTGGTGGTGGTCCGGCGTCCCAGGAAGCCAGAGAGACGACCTCGAAGCTCACGTACCCACGCTTCCTGTAACACCCACACCAGTGTCAGGAACAAGGTAGTGGGCACCCACACCAGTGTCAGGAACAAGGTAGTGGGCACCCACACCAGTGCCAGGAACAAGGTAGCGGGCACCCACATCAGTGTCAGGAACAAGGTAGTGGGCACCCACACCAGTGTCAAGAACAAGGTAGTGGGCACCCACACCAGTGTCAGAAACAAGGTGGACACCCACACCAGTGTCAGGAACAAGGTAGTGGGCACCCACACCAGTGTCAGGAACACGGTAGATTGTGAGCACACTGCAGAAGGCAGCAGGCAGTCTACCACCAACAACACATCTCACTATACCCTGGCTGAAACAATTCAAACATAATCCAGAAATTAACACTAAAAAAATCAACATTTCGTCCTGGGATCATAATCAACTGCAACTTGTTAGTGGTCGAGAACGTCACTTGGTTTTCATTTTGTAAGCAACTCCCGCAGACAAGCTACAAAGGCAAGGACCCAAGAGCTGCAGCTCATCTGCTGTTTTGAAGAGTAAAGAAACGTTGGGCGAAATGGTTCCATAATAAATACGAATATTCAATGGTATCACGTCACTGATTTGAAAGACAGTAGGTAAGGACACCTATATGAGAGAAAGAGAGAAAGAGAGAAAGAGAGAAGAGAGAGAAGAGAGAGAGAGAGAGAGAGAGAGAGAGAGAGAGAGAGAGAGAGAGAGAGAGAGAGAGAGAGAGAGAGAGAGAGAGAGAGAGAGATAGAGATGTTGGCACCTGGAGAAGAAGTTGATATCCTTGGGGTGAAATTTGACTCCAAACTAACCATGAAGAACCATGTTGTAAATCTTGCAAACAAGGCAGCCAGGAAGCTTACAGCACTTCGCCGTATCTCGCATCTGCTTGACAGTAGGGGTTGCAAGATCCTGTACGAGGCACAAGTACGCTCACACCTTGAGTATGCTCCACTTTCTTGGTTTGCCTGCCCCCCCCTCTCATCTGCGACTGCTTGACAGAGTAGAGAACAGAGCAAGACGTCTCATCTCTCGCCTGGACCCATCCTGGATAGATCTGTCATTTCAGCAGAGCCTTCAACATAGGAGGGATGTGGGTGGCCTTACTGTTATGTACAAGGCCAATATTGTCAAATACCACACTTGGATCCACTTCGAGGACAGCGTGAAACAAGCTTTTATGCCACAAGACGGGCAGAAAGCAGCAACTTCACTCTGGCTGTACCCTTCTCCAGAACATCACTCCATCTGAGATCATACATACCCAGGATGACTCGAGTATGGAACACATTCGTACAGCATAATGATATCAACGAGATAAAGTCAGTTGATCAAATGAAAATGCTGGCCCACAGATGGCTCCAACTTCATCCTGTCCCGTACTTGTATGTCTCATAACAATAAAAATGCTTTCAAATGAGCTGATGTAGGTAACAGCTCTTAGCTTGCCAATAAAGTTAGGAATCCTTAACCTGTAATATAGCTGTCAATAAAGCTAGGGATCCTTAACCTTGTCAAACCCTGTGTAAAAAAAAAAGAGAGAGAGAGAGAGAGAGAGGAGAGAGAGAGAGAGAGAGGAGAGAGAGAGAGAGAGAGAGAGAGAGAGAGAGAGAGAGAGAGTAGTTATCAGCAACAGTGAGTGCTGGATCACACTGGGTAAGTCTTACATACCTGGAAGACTGGCCTGAAGGCTGGGTGGTGGGTGGGATCAGGGACATAAGGAAGGGCGTAGAAGGGCAGTAGGTCCTGCACGGTTCCTACCCTCGGTGGACACGTCTCCAGGAACCTCCTGAAGACCGCCATGGCCACCGGGTGGTCCTGCGGGAGGAGGACACGTGATCACTTCTCTTACTCAAGTGACAAATCACTGGAGGTTGAAAACAGTTACCATAATACTACAACAACAAAAACTACTACTACTACTACTACTAATAATAATAATAATAATAATGTTCGTATGTAACTCGTCTTCACAATATTTATTTAAAGTAAAAGGACACAAGTGCAACTAATGTGACATTTATTGTAGCAACGTTTCGCTCTCCAGGAGCTTTATCAAGCCATTGATAAAGCTCCTGGAGAGCGAAACGTTGCTACAATAAATGTCACATTAGTTGCACTTGTGTCCTTTTACTTTACATATTGTCGGTAATTCTACCAACTTTATTACAATATTTATTATGTAACGTATTTCAGTTCGTGTGTTTCTGAACGATCCACGCTTCTGAACCTCCCCAACCAAAAGCATTGGACCTGATAAAATCCCAACCAAATTCCTTAAACACGGTGCCTCAGAATTAAACGTACCCAGCAGCCCGCATTACCTCCCTAGCTGTTACCTCCAATACTGTGTTCAAGGAGTTTAAGTCAGGCAATCACTCCTATTCCTAAGAAAAATGGATAGGATGTTAGTAACTATAGGCTTATGTTCAATATCCTTAAGAAATCGGGGCATTCTCAAGTAGGAGAGTATCTGAATATTAACATCCGTTATGGTCAACAATCACGTTCCAGATCTCACTCCACTGATATATTAACCTGATGGTTCACATGTCAGAAGGTAATTTCACAGACATGGTCACCTCAGACCTACAAAAGCATTTGACACAGAGAACCATAGCTTTTGAGACTGCTTAAAGTCCCACCTGAACAAGAAACAAATTACATAAATCATTAACAGGTAATCACAACCCTTGACCGTCTCATGTGGCGTTCCACAGGGAAGTATTTTGGCCCCCCTACCCTTCGTGTGCTATATGAACATTTTTTTTTTTTTTTTCAACAAGTCGGCCGTCTCCCACCGAGGCAGGGTGACCCAAAAAAGAAAGAAAATCCCCAAAAAGAAAATACTTTCATCATTCAACACTTTCACCACACTCACACATTATCACTGTTTTTGCAGAGGTGCTCAGAATACAACAGTCTAGAAGTATACACATATAAAGATACACAACATATCCCTCCAAACTGCCAATATATGAACATATCAGTGTTAAATTCAAACTTATATTGCATACAGATTACAGTGTTCTGATACTGACAGGCGAAGAGCACAATTATTATTATTATAATCAAGGGAGAAGCGCTAAACCCGGTGGATTATACAGCGCCTGGGGGGGGGATGTGGAAGGCATTCAGGCTTAATTCGGGGAACTGGAGCACAGATTCAATTCCCTAAATCAAGAGCCCCTCACCAACATCAAGGAACCTTCCTTGAGGAGCGAAGAGCACAAGATATCGTTGAAGTGTTATCACTGGAGCAGAGTCATACGGTCATTGGTTAACAGATAACGAACTGTTGCTTTACCTGAGACAACAGAAGCTATGGTAATTGGTTCAACATGTAAGTTAAAATTCTGTAAATAATTTTAAATAATTTAACGAGATATCTATCTCAACAGTAACTTCCGTGAGATATCTAGGAAGGTCCTTAGGTTAGTGCGTGTTAGGTGAATTATAAGTTAACAATGTTATAGTGGATCAATTTTGTTACGTTTATAGTTTCTGTTCACAGTGAGGAAAAAACGAGTGTCAGGATAGAGTTCCTCTATAGACAAGCATAGTGTCCAGCACAGTGACAAGCACAGTGACTAGCACAGTGACAAGCACAGTGACTAGCACAGTGACAAGCACAGTGACTAGCACAGTGACAAGCACAGTGACTAGCACAGTGACAAGCACAGTGACTAGCACAGTGACAAGCACAGTGACTAGCACAGTGACAAGCACAGTGACTAGCACAGTGACTAGCACAGTGACTAGCACAGTGACTAGCACAGTGACTAGCACAGTGACTAAGCACAGTGACTAGCACAGTGACTAGCACAGTGACTAGCACAGTGACTAGCACAGTGACTAGCACAGTGACTAGCACAGTGACTAGCACAGTGACTAGCACAGTGACTAGCACAGTGACTAGCACAGTGACTAGCACAGTGACTAGCACAGTGACTAGCACAGTGACTAGCACAGTGACAAGCACAGTGACTAGCACAGTGACTAGCACAGTGACTAGCACAGTGACTAGCACAGTGACTAGCACAGTGACTAGCACAGGACTAGCACGTGGACTGGCAAGTGACAAGCACATG